GGGAGACTATTTTACCTGGATCTGATCTACTCAGATGAGTCCTTCAGAGGGACTTGGCCCTTTTTGAAGGGAGAGCTTCAAAGCATGAGAAAAGTTCTCCTGTTGGCTTTGAAGGAGTGAACTTTGATTTTGGAGAGGGACCCATATGTGAGGGAATAGCAGATGGTCTCTATCAGCTGAGGGCTTGAGCTCAGCAACCAAAAGAAAATGAATTCCAGCAACAACCATGTATGTACAAGAGGACACAGAAACTTAAATGAGTCTCCAGCCCTGACAGCGAGCACCTCCTATGCAGCCTTTTGAGTTTGTGAGCAGAAGATCCAGTTCACCTATACCAGTACCCACAGAAATGGTGGGTAATAACTTTGGATTATTTTAAGCCAGCACATATGTGATAATTTTTTATGGTACCATAGAAGACTAGTTAATGCCTGGTTAATACAAAACTACTTATTGAAAAATGCACCATTGTCCCCACTGCATTATGAGGCCACCTTGGCCATCAACCACATACAGTTCTATTTCACGATTCTCTATTGACTTTCACTGACTATGTAGTCAATGCTTGTGCTGATGCCACATTATCTTTTTATAATAAGTCTTGGTATCTGGTCGTGTTCAGTCTTTCAGGTTTGTTAATCTGCTTTCAGGTGCCGTTGGCAGTTCTGGGTCCTTTGAGTTTCTGTATGAATTCTAGAATAGACTGGGATTTTTGAAAAATAAGTGCAGGGGTTTTGATTGGGATTGCATCGAATCTACAGAGCTAGCTTTAATTCTGTATTTTACTTACAGTTCCTTATTTCATGTAGTAAAAATTGATTCACACTATGAGCAAGTAGTAAATATATTTCTTTTCCCTTTGTATTCCTGTCTTAATTTCACTGCCAAATTTCAGTATATGAAAACCTTTTCCTTACTCTATCTTTATACTAGTATTTACTTATAATCTTTCTAATTTATCATTGTTGATTAATACCATTCATTTCCTTGCTGTAAAAGATGATGAAATTGGTATGTTTACACCATCTTCCACTTTCCTTAGTTTTTTCCTCAAAACTTTTGTTTTATTTCTGCATTATTATGGCTTGTGACATAAATATTTGTTTTTAGTTCGCCCTAAAATGAAATGAATTCCATGATATTGCCATTTTTTCTTTCTTTTTTTTTATTGAGTTATAGTCACTTTACGATGTTGTGTCAATTTCTGGTGTACAGCACAATTTTTCAGTCATACATGAATATACAGATACTCATTTTTGTATTCTTTTTCACTGTGAGCTACTACAAGATCTTGTATATATTTCCCTGTGCTATGCAGTATAAACTTGTTTATCTGTTTTATATCTACCCATCAGTATCTACAAATCTCAAACTCCCAGTCTGTCCTTTCCCAACCCCCTCCCTCCTCGCAACCACAAGTTTGTATTCTATGTCTGTGAGTCTGTTTCTGTTTTATATTTAGG